AGCAGAAAATTCGGATGACATGTCTTTTAAAATAAATAGTAAAGATTTAACAAATTCAAGCTGATGATCCATCATCCATTGAGTTCCCATATCAACTTGTGAACTAAGAACTGATATGCCCATACAACCTCCGCTTTTACGATACCACTCTTGTTTATAACAACAAGAACAAAAACGTGATGCCAAAACATGAAATGTGGGGAAAAAATATATAACTTCCTTTTTTCCTATGATCAAAATACATGTTTCGTACATTATCTTCAAGGCTGATGCTGCGAGTTCACGAAGATCGCTATTCTCAGATGTCATAACTTCTACTAAGGCTTCCACCATTACTTTATTCTCCAAATTATATGTTTTATCATATTTATAAAATTCAAACCTTTTCTCTCTAGCATGACGGAAATCAATTGCTTCACCAACCTCCAGCAAAGCAAAGTGTCTACAAATATTTTGCAAGAAAGGCCATGCTTGTTCCTTAAGTTCAGGTAAAGAAGCGGCAACAAATAGCGCAACAATAACATTTTGCAATGTATCTTCTTGCAAATACTTTCTCCTCAAAATTTGCTTGTGTCCTTCTTTTTTAATTTTTTTCGGTATTGTTGATTGAGAAGGAACATTTTCATTATTAGGTAAGTCAACGTCCATATTGTCACAGATATTGTCGGTAAGGTGAGTTGTCTGTGTCGTATTCATACTTTCTGTATTGTCTTCTCCTATTACATTTGATAAAAATTCTTGATGAAGCCTTTCACTGATACAATTAGCTAAATTTTTGTTTCCTTCATTTACATCGAATAAAAGTGGAATAGTAGCAGATATGAATTTATAAGCATGCTTTTTATGAAAAGCAGTAACGCTAGTATCTTGTAATGTCCTTATAGCCAATGATAAACATTCATCTAAAGAAAATGAATGCGGCAAAGGTGAAGGATCAAAATAAATTTGAATATCTAACCCATTTAATGATGGTATATTGGTTTCAAGCTGTGGTGGATCCTTAAGCATACGACGATTTCGACCTCCTAATTTACCCAATATCCTCGTAGTTGAAAGGCTATGAGATTGATTATATGGTGATGGCTTTAGATGCTTCCATAAAGAATGCATCAAATCATTAATAACTGGTGCCATTATAGGATCCAAAAACTCCGCTGTTAAATTGTCAATACAAAGTTCCAAAGTTCTTAGGCCTTGTGTAACTAATTCTGTACCAGCCTGCAACGCCAAGACTAGAGGCTTCATCAGGTAGCCTAGATAAGGCAAAAGTACACTAAGACGCACAGGAACTGTAAGACATAGTTCAACAAATAAATCACGCATACGCTGCTTGTTTGTTAATGAAAGAAGAGTATTCAATCCTTCTAAAAGCATCGGTAGTAATGGTAAAACTTCTTTATATAAATTTTCAAATCTTCCTCCACCAATGCTTCTGAAAAGAATCCTAAGCAACATGAAATAGTTGAATGGTTCTTTAGCCTTGGCCGACAGTTTCATTGACGAAGTGATGATATTAGCAAGGTGTGGATGAAGAACCATTTCATTTTGATTCGGAAAAGCAGTAACGGACATAAACGCTAATTTGAATAGACGAAGCATAATTGAAGAATTTAATTTATCTTTTCTGCCTAGCATATCCAATCTATCCACAAGATATCTTAATAAAATCCCAGCAAAATTCTGCGAAATAACTTCATTACTTGCCAAAAATAATTGTGGAATCTGCAACAGTGAAGGGTTTTGAAGTATTTTCTCAAAAAAGAGTCTCATTTGTGATGCAAATATTTCTTGAAAAATTGCAGGATCTATATAGAAAAATGCACTACTGAAATGTTCCAATGCATCTTTTTCAAATTTTGATAATGGCACGATTCTATTTGAACTCTCTAATGACATTAATTTCTCGGCAAGTTTTATTTGAGAACTTTCTAAATTTTCCACAAAGTAATCAAAACAACAAACTCCATCTCTAAACAGACGAACAAAAATATCAATTTGTTCTTGTGAAAAACCACGCGCAACTGAATTATACACCTGAAGATTTATGTCAGAATTTGCTGATGGTTGCGGGTTTGTTTGTCTTAATCCAATTATAATGGGTTTAAGACCTGACACAAGATTTCTGAATAAAAATCGTCCCTCTAAGAAATAATAATTACGTTAAATTAATGAGATGTACTGATAACGCGAATCTTTTAATCTTTAACATATAAAAAAAATATAATACCACTTATAATATCTTGCTGCAATTCGCTAGGTGAAGCTGTGTGAATAGGTCGCGCTTGCTCAAAATCGAAATAGTCGACAGGTTTCTCTGATGAACTATCATCATTAGATTCGGAGCTTTTCATTTTTTGATGATAACGTTGATAATCCATAAAAAGGAGATTTAATGTTGTGAATTTTGTAGCAAAGGTATCCAATATTTTTATTAACAATTCCCTTGCTATTAAATATGGATGAAATTTGTTAGACACAATATTAATAAATATTAATGAAATCAAAGCTTAAACTTGATATTAACATACCTTCATTTTTGTCGTCTCGTTTAGGAATATTTACAATACATTCTGTTAAGTTTAGCAATAACTTTGAGCACATTGTTTGAATACCGGCGGCCAACGTCGGATCGTGTAGATTACGTGAATACATGTATACTGTTTTAGAAAGTTGCATAGGGGTAAGCTTGTTCCGCACATGATGAACTAGATCCGCTAACATACTATATGCTATAGGCCTATAATAACGGATTGCATTTTAATTATAATAAAATGAATTTAAAAGATTGAAAATATACAATTTGAAGAACATGCCTTAATGTATCATGTGACGTAACGCCGGTACCAACCAATACTTTCTCGTCGAGAAGTATATCAATCTTATTTATAAAAGCGTCTCGAAATTCTGTCGAAAGTATATGTCGCGTTGCAACCAATAACTCCTATTTAACAATAAAAGATATTCATTTTAGCATTAATAAAGGTCCCCCAATAAGTCTCGTCAATGTATGCGATATAAATTAATCAAAGATCGTTATGGTTAATATGTATTCTTACCTTTCTGGTTGCCGAAGCCTCAGGAGGACAATCTTGAAGAAGTCTAATGACGAAATCTGGTATCAAATCTTGAAATTTACTTAACTTTTCTTTGTAAGCTCGCAAAACGTACGCTAAGAATGACATGGTCTTTTCGTAAAATAAATGTAATAAATTAATCATCCGTAATAAAATTTCAAAGCATATAGATTCGTGTTATATAAAAAACTTACTTTGACTTGAGTTACAATGAACTCTGTGTATTTTGCGCGGTCCTTAATTCCTGGAGCCACACCAACGAAAATTTCACCCTTAGCTCTAGACGCTTCCTGCGCTTCTGCTTGTGGGCGAGCTTGAAGTCCTAATGTCTAAATAATTAAAAAATATACCCAATAAAATTTTCAATTAGTCATTTGTTTAACGAGTAATGACGATATAATACAATTTTTTAATAAATACCTTTATGATGAGCGGAACAAAATTTTGAATGTTTGTATTTACAGATTTACGGTATGATTGGAAAAGCAAAACTACGATTATAGGACATTCTGTCAAGACTTTGAAACTATGTAAGCTCCTTGCCAAGACTTTATTTGGTGCTGCTTCATTAGTTGTTACATCAGATACAGGTGATGTAGGTCTTGAAGATGGCACAAGCACTATTGATTGAATTGGCTGAAGAAACCAAGATCATGAGAAAAAGGCATTAAAACATAATACACGAATTATATAAGATGAACTTACGGTGCTGGCACCAGGCGTTGCAGAAGATCCAGGTGAATCAAAGGCATCCTTCACTGCTTGTTCCATATTTACATACATTTCTTTAACTATGTCTAAGAAGGGTTGAACTTGATCTTCTAAAAGTAATTTATAACTTCTATGTAATTCAATAATTATTTTTAAACATATTACAGCGTTTTCCTCATTTTCTATTCTTAACAAATGCATTAAGAGCTGTAATAATTCAGTTGCGTAAGTTTTAAGTGAATCATTTTGAGGTAATCGATAAAGTACTTCTAAAAGAAGGTTTCTTAATTTCTGTAAATAATAAAATACATATTAATAAAATTTAAGCAAAGAAATTTATATTTAAATTATTATAGGAAAAAATTTTTTTCTTACTTGTTCTTCGGAATTACTATCAAAGACAGGTGGTTCACCTTCAAGTATTTTTTTCAAGACAGGTATCAATACTTTTAAAAAATGGCTATAGTCCGCATTTTGATATGCCTCAATAGAGTCCCTCAAATTAATTGCAATTGTCAACTTTAATTTGATTGCTTTACAAAATGAAATAGGGTATAAGTAAAATGATACAAAAATGTTATCAATGTAAATTGAAAAAGAAAAAAAAAAAAGAAAACTTACTAATATTAGGATCTGCTAACCTAGCGGCAAAAATTTCCGGGGAGGAGTACTCTGAGCCCGCCATTTTTGCTGGAATTCTCGTATAATTTAAGTGATAGAATATGATTACAAAAAAGTTGAGGTTTTTTACTTAAAAGGAAGAAATCGTAATTGATCAGCGTTCGGTAATGATAAAAATTTCAAGAATATATTGTATAAGTGGGTAATAGAACAGCGAAGCTGCCCTAGTTATAAGAAAAGCTTTCGACGGTAAAAAGTTCGCAAACTCCATTGAAGGGTGTCCTTAAATACTGGAAAACGTGAATCGAGTTGTTCAAAGTGGGGATTAGGTCAGAAATTCGCGTAAACGTCATCATTTCTGATTTCCAAATACATCAAATGTGCAACTCAATCAGCCAATAATATTCGTTTGCAGAACCGATGTGACACCATGCTTAACTAATAAATTCTCTGACTATTTATTCGTAATACTTAAATTTCTATCTTTCAAAAAGTGAATTTAATTAACCTTCTGCAAAATATATTTTATTTTTTCCATTTAATGTTTGTTACTGCTACTCAGGCTTCTTCATTCACCAGGTATGCGACTTTATGATGTCTCAAATATTGTGGGTTCCACCACCACTACCACTACCACCTCCTCCTTTATCATGCAAAAAAGTTACATTTACGCACAAGTTTCAAGTGCAAAACAGAAGGAAGATCTTAAGTGGCAACAACTATTCTTCTCACCAAATGTCCTCAACACAAATCCATCTCAGACATTGGAAGTGGCATTAACTTTAAGAGACCCGGCTTGCAAACCATACTAAGCAAGTCGTGGAATGGTCGCAGAAGTTATGGTTGCCCATAGGACTGACTATGTCAATTTCAATGGGAGCGTTTCTAGTAAAATCACGTTACAGATCATATAATTTACTATGTCTCATAACTCGTCTTCTAGGTATTTCTCCTGCTAATGCACGAAAACTGGAGCATGTTTATGCAAACCTTCTAAGCCTCGAAATAGGCTTATGGGGTTTGATGAGAAGCAATTAACTTATGATGTTCTTGTAAGATATTTACTTAAACCAGGTGAGTTAGAAGGTGGAAGAAGATGTGCTGAAGATATGAATTGGTCTCCTCAAGTCAATTATATCTGCAAATCTTTGGTGTAAAAAAATCAGCCAGCCTTATACTGGCTAGAAAATGATAATGGATATGGTCTGAAAAGATCTTTTATAAGAGAAAGATTGATGGTTATTAAAGAAGTTCATCTACCATCCCAATGGGTGCTAGTCATTTGATCTATTGATCTGCAGAAGATGGTCTATCTGTTTGCTTACCCTTTCTGTGTAGCAGACTTTTCTTTTTGAATAAATATAAAAAAAAAAGTACTTGCAGAAGTATAGCTTCAAACAGTGTTGGACAATGACCCTTAATAACTTTATGATTTATATAACCAATAACTGGTCATTGGTCATTAATTAAAAACTATATGACTTTATGATCAAAATCATGTGATTAATAATAATAACCAATTAAAATATAATAAATATAATATAATAAATATAATATAAATAATTATTATATAAATTTATATAGATTTTTTTATTATAACCTAAACTTTTATTAGTTTAAAAAATAAGATTACAAAAAAAATATTAAAATCTGTTTCTATATATGCTGGTTCATCTAAATTAGTAATAAACAAAGTTTCTAATTTTCACTTTGCTTTTGGATCATCAGCAGGATGAATTTGTCTTTCTCCTACTCTAAAATCTATATCCCATTTCCTATTCAAAAAATTTTCATCATCATTATTATCAAATTGATTTTCTTTTTGAATTGCATTAATCCATTCATATATTAAATTATTCCATTGCAATTCATATTCTTTAATAGGTTTTACAATTTCATTATTATTTTTCAATTCTTTTTCCTTATTAAAATTATTTTTACCTTGATTATTAATTTCTTCCGAATCACTTACTTTCTAATCATCATCAATTATATTAGGTTTTTCAATTTCAGTTTCATCATCCAATACAATTAAAGTAGTAATATGAAGATGTTTTATTTGCTGATTTGTTTCGCATAGTTCATTAATTCAACGATTATACGTTATATCATCACGAATCTGACTCATTGCTAATACTTTTATACTAAAAAATAAAAATAAAGTTAAATTTATAATATATTTAAAAAAAACATAAATTAATATAATAATAAAATACCTGTAATCTGTTATGTTTATTAGTATGAAAGAATCCCATACTTGACTATAATTTTTCTACAGAAGCAGAGTTAACACAAATACCATATATATGAATAGCAACTTGTGCAAATTCTAGTCCTATTCCTATAGTTGATTCCCAAAAATCTACCAAATTATTTTTAAATTATAAAAAAGAATTATGATCATATGTATCTTTACATCATTTATATTTATTAATTCTGTTAGAATTGAAATGGAAGGTGTATTAAACCATGCTTAATAATAATATTTAAGCCATTGACCAATATGTGTCTAAGTTAAATTACTTATTGTATCTCGAAATTTTGTTAATTTGTATTCTGGATGTAAAACAAAAACTAATATAAGTAAAGGCTGTTCCAATTCATACTAATGAGCTTCTATTCTTTCACATATTTTATACTAAAATTAAAATTCAGATAAGTAGTAAATATTTTCACTGTATATGCAAAACAGTATAAAACTTCATGAAGTTTGATTGTATCTTTTTGAAGTTTATTAAGAAATCCACATAATGAATATAAAAGATTTTGTAAAACAAAAATATTAGTTCAGAATTCAGAATCGTTAATAATATCTGCTACATAATCTGAGAAGTTTTTTTTCACTCTTTTTATGTTCTGATTGTTTATTTGCTAGGATATTTAGCTATCTATTAGTGCAAAATATATTAGTACGATGTGAATTAAATTTAGTAGATAAAACCTAATATATTCAGATGATTGGTGAATCAGAAATGCGATTAATTAATTATATTATAATTATAGTTAAAAAAATATTTTAAATACCTTTAAAGCAGTTTGAGACTTGCAAATAGAATAAAAACAAAAGTAATAACTATTTCATTTAGTATCTCTGAAAGATATTAAAGAAATAATCTTTTATAAATATTCATTTGCTCATCATGCAATTGTTCAGTAAAATAAGTTGATTTATGAAAAAATGAGACTATTCTAATTGCTTCAGTTGATACTAAAGATGGATACCATAATTAAAAAGTTGTAACTCAGTAAGTTGCAACTTGAGTTACAACTTGGTTGCAACTCCTTGTAAATTTATTTTAATATAAAAATTCATAAATAGTTGCAACTCAAAGTATTGTAACTTAAGTTGCAACTAGTTAAAAATTTTAAAAATAATTATGGGAACTATCTTTAGTTGATACCCATTTGTAAAGCTCACTTTCCTTAAAAATTTTACCAAAAATCAAGTTCATTTGATGTGCCATACATGGTGAAAATACTTTATATAGATATTTTCGTCATAATTGACGTCTATTAAAGATGCCAGCCGAAACTCCCTCAAAATAATTTCGTCATATCCTTTACTATGTTTTTAATATAGTTTCGGCTAATTTCGGGTTTTGGGGTTTCGTCGTACCCCTCACTATGTTTTAATATAGTTTCGGCTGTTTATTAATTGCCTTTTTTGAGTTTCGTCCCTCATCTTTAACGTCTATATAAAATAAGTGTATTTGCCAGCCAGTTACCATAATAAAGACTCTTTCAAACATTGAATCCAAATTTAAAACAAACTAATAGATCTTTTAGTGTAAAGCTGGAGAAACAATTTTCATATCATTTTAATGGATGATTTTAATATTACATTTCTAGAGCATACAAAGTAAAATGCAAAAAAATCTTACAAAGTTTTTTACATAATATCATTAATCTTAGTTTCCTCCATACAATTTCCTTTCACATCTTCTTTTCCTATTACTTTTATATCAATATCTAACTCTTTCTTATCCCACATTGACTATATCTTCACATCATCTTCTCTGGCATACGATCTTGTATCTTTTGATATCCTAAACAATTCATCTTTTCTATATTCATCTGTCCATTTTTCTTTTCTTATTTCTTTATATAAAAACAATTTTTTCAACCAATCCTTCAATGTTTACTCAAAACAACACAAAGTCACCAAACAAAATTTTCTTTTTAATAAAACAACTCTTCTACAATAGAACCTTTTTGTTGACAAAATGGATTTTCTTCTCAAAACTAATCTAAAATATAAAAATTGTTCTGCTCAAATGCAGCTTGGGATATTTTTATTAACACAGTCATCATTTCTGAAAAAAAACACATTTCTAAACAAAAGATCTCTTTATATCACAACTCCTTATTCACTTATTTCAACTCATTAATACACAAATAAATTAAAAAATTATATACAGTCAGAACTCGATATAATGAACTTTCTGATTTACTATGAAATTTTTTAAAAAAAATTGGTTTATCAAAATTTATAAGTTCTATATAACAATTTTTATATGTTCAAATATAAAGTCAAAATTTTTAAAAAAATCATTTTAACAAGATTTTATTAAGTGATCGTTATATTGAGAATCATTATATCAAGTTCTGACTGTAAGCTCTATTATAAGATAAATAAATTCCTTTTTCAATCACCTTTGCCATTATCACCATTCCTAATTTCTCTTGAAGAACATAAATCACTACTATCAATTGCTTCTCAACACTATATCTCTATAGTTTCAATTGATGATCATTATATTGCAAATTGCTTACTAAACAATTTAAATGAACTTAAATCCGATATTATTAAACCCTTGCAAGCCAAATAACAAATCATATCTAGAAATAAAAATAATGAAAAAGTTCTGGAATTCATAAAACAGAGAAATTACAACTTCAAAGATTCTCCTACTAAAATGATAGTTTCTTGTCTTGAAAGAAATCGAAAAACTATCATTCTTGACCAGATCATGATTGATGCAGATACCTTGAATCAACACTTAGAATTAGTTTCAAATGAGATCAAAGCCCAAACAACATCTTACTTTCAAAACATCACTGGCTCAATAAATAAAGATATCACAAATTATAATTCAACCAATTTTAATTCAAACTGGAATAATTGGAAAAATCACTATATACTTATTGAAACAATTAATGATGATTTTTACTCTGGTATCATAGATATTCCTACATATGATGATTAGTTAATGATCTTACAACATTTATCTGACCATAAAGCTCCTGTTCCTTCCAAGTTACCAAATGAACTACTAAACAAACTAGGCTCAAAAATGAACAAATTTTTATACACCATTATATATGCTTGTTTTATTAGTTCAAACACACACACATAATAAAACTTAGCATACGTATATCCAATTCCAAAACTGAAACCTTGAAATTGTAAGCTTGATAATACACACTCTATCACTCTTCTTGATTTAAAAGGAATTTTACTTACACTTTAAAGTTAATTTTAAATATATTAAAATTATTATAATAAAATTTATGATGTTTTTTAAGTAAAATCAAAAAAAAAATTATATTACAGCTAATTTCATAATTCGTGGACCACTAATAAATTGCGACTGAATGCGACTGAAAATATTTTATAATAAAATTACTATAAAATATTGCGACTGAATGCGACTGAAAAATTATTAATGGTCCATGAATTATGAAATTAGCTGTAAGGTTTAAAAATACAATTAAATATTTTATTAAAGTATTTTTACTATTTTTAAAATTTATTTTTTTATATAAAATCATTTTTAATAAGTTTTCTTCTATCCCTTAAATTGTAGAGCAA